TTTAATTGATAATTTAGGTATTAGAATAGAAAAAAATCACAAAATTTATTTGTTATTCGATTAAAATTACAATTAATTTTAACTTTGTCAAACATATTTCGTGCATTCGTCACTTATTGTATTACTTGATCACGATCCATCCTAATTGCGGGTTTTCAAATGATGATTATGCTTTGTTGAAAAAACTTTGGGTTCTCGAACACGGTGTTGTTTCAGAAAGGTCATAATGCGTGTTTTCCCATATACATACACATTCTCCCTTTGAAGCAACCCACAGATTTCAATCTCTAGACTTTTTAGGAGCTGAATTCAGGCCAACTTTTGGGCAGTAATTCTTGCAAAAGTAATCCCAATTAGAAAACAACACGTGTTATATAAACTACTTTTATTTCAAAAGATTCTTAAAAGAGTTCCCAAACGTGGCCTTGTCAACTAAAATTTAATTATAATTTTCCTTCTTCTAAAGTAACAAACATTTATTCTCAATTATTTATTTTATTTTTTGTAGACAAACACGTGGCTTTCCTTGAGTGAGAAATATTGACTAGTAGCCGCTGGGTCCCATTAAGTTCTCATAGCAAAATTTGCATATGCTTCCCAAATGCTTTACGAAATTAAACAATTGACATTTATTAGATCCTTTCTAGTAAATAGACGGTATTTATCCAATTAAAAAGTAATTATTAGAAAAAGAAAAAAAGGGAATAAAGGGAAAAAAATTTGAAAAAAACATACTTCGAAAGCTGGGTTGGAGCTATATCTCCGAATCTCAACCTAGACATTCTAAAGATGGTAAATGGTTAAAAGATATTATCATTAACGCAGTCGAACTTTCGGACTTAACCAATTTTATGGACAAATTTTTTCTTTATTAAAACATGTAAAAGATTATAGCGAACTGATCGCTGAAGTCTATCGACTATCCGTTTTTTCTACCAGACACATTTTATTTAAATGTCTGCTTCGAAAGCTAGGTTGGAAACATTCTAACCATGATAAATTGTTTAAAGGCATTATCATTAATGAAATTAATACAATTGTGCTTTCAAACTTTATCAATATTATGAACAAATTTCTCACTTTATTTATACGTGAAAATGATTCTAACTGGCTGATTGCCTGAGTCGATAGGCTATAAGGTCTTTATCATTACCCCCACGCGGCCAATACAATCATAATCACACCCCCGCCCCACCACCGCAAAGGTTGAATAACATAATGCTCCATGATAATGGTTGAGAAATTTGTCACGATGATCATAAAAAAAAATTATCGACATAACAATTTTCGTGTTAATATTACAATAATGCTAAGTGTACGTTCTTTCCTTTACATTAGTTTTGACATCCTCGATGTTTTAAAAAAATTGTGAACGGAAAAAATGTATTTTTAATTTGTGAATCACACAATACAATGTAAATGATTATATAAAAGATGATATCCATATGACGGAATTTTTAATATTATTTCAAACAATTTTTCTAGATATTTCCAAAATCTCTGTCTAACAGTTATTTGTCCGTCAACTCAAATAATCACATCGTGAAAAATCAAAGAAAACTTCTTCACGTAATTTCAAACTTTTGACAAATACCCACCGCACAATTATATATCCCTAACCATTTCTCCATCCTCAATCAATCTCATTTCCAATTCCCAAAAATGAGTTTCTTCAAATTCATTGTTGCAATTTTATTGCCTCTTTTCTTCATCCACAGTCACGGGATAATCATCACCGTTCGAAACAACTGTCCCTACACTATCTGGCCCGCTGCCGTGCCCGGTGGAGGTCGCCGCCTCGACAGCGGCCAGACATGGACGCTCGGCTACCCTACAGAGAAGTTAGTCAAAATATGGGCTCGTACTAATTGCACGTTTGATTCATCGGGTAGGGGTAATTGCCTCACCGGAGACTGCCGCGGCTTGCTTGGATGCAAAGAGTTGGGTGCACCTCCGGCGACTTTTGCCGAATACGGGCTGAACAGTTGGGCCAATAAGGACTATTACGATATCTCTGTGATGAAAGGGTTTAACGTGCCGATCTCAATGACTCCTACGTCAAATGGATGCAACAAAAGCGTAGGATGTACGAGAGATATTACTGCGCAGTGCCCGAATGAACTGAAAACGCCCGGCGGATGCCATAATCCTTGCACTGTTTTTAAGACGAATGAGTACTGTTGCGGCGTCGGGCGGTGCCAGCCGACGAATTTCTCGAGGTTCTTCAAGATTCGGTGCAGGGACGCCTTCACGTATCCCCAGGATGATCCCACCAGTATTTCCACTTGCCCCGCGGGAACCAGTTACAGTGTTGTGTTCTGTCCTTGATGAGATCAACGACGGCGGCGGAATTTGGCCTGAGAAATTGGTAAAGTAGGATTATGAAGATATGGAATAAAAATCTAGTGATTTATACACGTGAGGTAACCGACAAATATATGGTGGACTATTACCTATATTCTTGTAGAGTAATAAACTTATTTCAGTGGAAATTGCTTTGATATATGTTGTTTACGTCTTTGGGATTTGTTAAAAGATATATTTTTTTCTTGATAATTGATCTTCTTGTTATGGTTATGGTTATGGTTATGGTTGAGAATGGAGTTTGACGAAATTTTTTGTAAGATCGCATTTGAGTGGACAATTTAACGATCAAGATTTTAACTTTTTGATTCCGTAATAATACCAAATATTCATATAAGTATGTTCGAATTTTTCACATGAACCATTGTAACACACTTTGATTCGTGACATAGACTAAAGAGTGTGACAATTCATAATTATTGATTAATGAAGATTAACAAATGCAAGTAATATAATCTTTAGTCTTTGTTTGATTCGGATAAAAATCTGTAATTAATTTTAATCGTATATTTTATGGGAGTACAACTTTTAATTATACATTTCATCAATTTTTATCAAAATCTATTAAAAGTTTTATTGTTATTTAAACCAAACAGAAGCTTAATTATAAGAATAATGAAGATTAACACTTGCCAAACTCGATGTGTAATTCGAGATAAGTATGAAATTTTGCAGTATCCTAAATCATTTTCTCATGCTCCAAAGACTCCTTACGAGGAGTGTGAAAAGCCAAAGCCGACCCTAGCTCCATGCTACTACAAGTCTCCATCGATAGCTTGTCAATTCCCTCCTTTCCTATCCTCACTAAAATCAACAACCACCATCCTGACAAGAGTGATACCTCCTTACGCTTCATCAACAACACACCCATTGGAAAAAAATTGTGTTACAATTTGTACACGACATGTTAATGTCACATCGTACATTGACTGGGTCTAGATTCCAAAAAAAATATGTTGCGAACTTGCTACAATTTTAAATAGGTAATATCTCCAAGTTTTCATGTGTATTCAAGTTTGTTGACCTTAGAAAACGAACTCAACAGATGTCGGACCCACTCATGCATACGTAAGCCATATCCAGCACGTTAAGACGGATCTATGGTCGAGATCACTCCAAAGATTGGATGTGGGAGTAGCTCAACCACATGAGTCGTTTCCGTTCGGCCTCTGACAAGATTTACTGAACAAAATTGTTTTTTATGATCAACCGATGAAAGCAGTATTTGTAATTGTAATGAATTGATAAGAGAATAAGAAACGCTGTTTGTGTATTTAGAATTTCATTAGCCTTTCATAGTTACATGGTGGGAGTATTTATAATGTTACAAATGGAATAGAGACCTTTCGATTAACTTACACGTGACCTCATCTCCTTGATTAAAGCATCAGATCCTAGCCATCACGTTGACTTAACTAGCTTTACAAAGTATTAAATGCTCTTACATTGACAAGACAAGGCACATACACTTTTTACAAGGGTCGCATCAATCATTCATATGTGGATCTTCATCGTGATCAAATCTTTGCACGTGGGCCGTCGCGAGTTGGGAGCCTGCGCTTAGGCTTTTGCTGATAGCAGAACCTCAGATTTAAGATGTCATTTAGAAGTAATTGTGCATCTGCTGACGCAGGGCCTCGATTAAGGGGCTTCGGCCTATACAGAAACATGGCCTAAGTTAGGGTGGTTGGCCAGATCAGGTCCCACATATTAATCCTGATGACCACATGGCAGTCCCTAGAGACGAGTCGTAACAATACCTCGAACTCGATACTTCTAACTTGAGGGGAGAATTTTTCGATGAAGAAGTGCCCCAGACCTCGGCAAAGAAGTTATTGAGGAAACCCCGTTGAAGTTTTGGAAGAAGTTCCAGTTGAGGGGGCTTCAAAAGTTTCCACCTTTTTTGTGAGGGAAGCTACCTCACACTGAGATCAATACACCTCCTTCTTGAGGGCCTCAATTTCTGCCAAGGCAGAGGCGATAAGCCCCATCTTATGTTTTCTGGGCCCTCGGTTCATCGACCTCTGCCTTCTTCTTCTTTACTTCTGCCTCAGCAGATTCCAATTTTCATAGGACTCGAGATTCCTCCTTTGAATGTCAGATAAAACTTCTTGACATTCCTGGGCTACTCCAAAAGCCCTCCCCGTTTGGCTCACAAAAGTCACAGTGAGATCCACTGCATCACAGGTGGCCACATAATTCTGTCACCTCTCAGTCCAGAACTTGTTAAAATTTTCAGCTGCGCCTTGGACTTCAGGCGGAAACATCTCCAGTACGGCTGGGGCAATCTTGTCATCCCTCCCAGCCAACCTGAAGTCCTCTCAACTTGCCCCTTCTTGGACGCCTCAGAAGCTGAAGCCTTATTAGCCCCCTCATTGGTCCTCTGAGATTGTTCCACCATGGCAGCTTTGATGGAGGATTGAAGGATTTTTGGCTGCTTGGTCCCTCCCTTTTCGACATGAGCCGTGATAGTCCCAAAGGTGGATGCAGCCCCACTTGTATGAACAAGTTTCCTCTTCTTCTGAGGCTCTTCCATTTTGCCCTTGCTCTTCTTGGCAACCTTCTCCGCCTTCTTAGGAGCCTCTTCCTCTGCTCCTTTCTCAGCTTGGTTCTTGCTGAGGCGCTCCAGCTTCATTCTTACTTGCTTCGCCCTGGAGGAAGAGGGCTTCAATGGTTTTGTGCCAGTGATGGTCGTGGCCTTAAGGATAATGGCCATATTTGGAGTTGGGTACTCCTTCTTCACAAATTTTTCTGCAACAGTAAAGGCAAAAGTTAGGAACTACGAACTGATAATTTTAAACTCCCACGAGTAAAAAGGCCTCTTACCCTTAGAAGCCATCAATCCGAAGTCCAGAAAGTAGCGACTTCGGTCGAGAAGGTGGGCAAAGCTTCTAAGCTTCGAAGATCGTTTATATATGTCTTCAATTACGTCCCACTCAGCCTCGTGGAGCTCGTACCTGGAACTAGAGTCTGCAGATAAACAAAATAAAAAGATCAGCAACACAGAGTTGGATGAACATTTTAAAGTTTTCACACGAGGTACTCACGCGCTTCGTAGTACTGGGTCGGTACAGTTCAAGCTGGGACGACGTCTCCCTCGGCCATCTGCTACCTGCCTTTGACCCAGAACCAAGACTCCTTTCACTCCTTAATGGAGGTTGGGAGCCCCACTACAAAAGGCGCATGAGCCCCCCAAGGGGTGATGTAGTACCATCCCTTAGAGTCATCCTTCCCCACGACTCGATTTTGGAAAACTGTTTGAAAAGTATCTTGGGGGAGGTCCTCTCCTAAAGAGACCTCCTTCCAGAGGAAGTAAGCTCCAACTAATTGGCTCCACCCGTTTGGCAATATTTGGGTGGGCGACAACGTAAAGTTTCTTAGCACCGCTCTAAAGAAGGGGTGCAGAGGCAGACGCATCCCTGCTTTCAACAGAAATTCACTGACAGCCACACATCCCGGCCTCGGAAAGCAGGCTCGTTCATGGGCCTCGGGAACTAATAACTCTATGTAGTGAGGTATGCAATATGTATCCCTAAGTTCCACTAATTTTGAGGAGGTTATGGAAGATGGAATTTTGGCATCCCCCAATCAACCTCGTAATCTATGGGTTCCTCTGTCATACTATACCACCCATCCGACCCAACAGAGGTCGATTCCTCCCCGGACCTCACTACTGTAATGGGCATGCAAGTTTCAGAAGCCATGTTTCTTTGAAGAACACAAAAAGACGAAACAGAAGTCGCAAGAGCGTAAGGAAATACCTACAGATGAAGATTTGGAAGATTCGTCGGAGAATAGTAATCGGGAGACTGGAAATAACTCAAACTCGAGAGAATACGAAGAATATTTTGCAAAAGTAAAATTCCCAAATGACAAGTTTTTGGGTTTTTATACATACAGGAGATTGTATCCCAACCATTAGATCAAAGACCCATCTAATCCGAGATGTCCAAATCTTCTCTCAATCCAAACCATAGAATTCAAACAGTTTGTGCTACCAACGCCCCGATTAATTCGTAGAACTCACGTTTTGCCTTTGGCGAGTAAGAAACCCCCTCAAATAAAGCATACTCATAATTAGCATCATAGCACATTTAATACAATGGCCATACACATATTGGAAGTTGTTTCGATGCAGCTACTCTACCTTGGAAATATGTGAATCCGTCAAATCACGTACACTAATACCCACCATAGCATTTATGATTCAATTTCAGCCTTGGTTAGTTCAACTATGGACTCGCCTCAGCTCCAAAAAGAATTTTAGCTTCAATACGCATTTCAGTAAGCCGAGTTTCTACCACTTTTTAAACTCCACGCATGACATAAATAATCACACATGGACTGGGGGACTCGTATAGTGGATACAAAATTTCAAAATTTTCGATACTTTATTACTGAAGTCCACGCATGACATAAATAATCACACATGGACTTGGGTGACTATTGTTACGACTCGT